CAAAATGTTTCCTCAACTCCTCTCCAACACACACACACACANCACACACACACACACACACACACACACACACACACACACACACACACACACACCGGACCGTACTATCAAACTCAATCACAAACTACAGCCACTAACAGCCGGTTACCTGCGGCCTCTCAGCCCGTCTCTCCCTCCTCCTCTCCCGGCCTTGTGTCTGAGCCTGGCCGCTGGAGGTGACAGGTAGACCACCAGGTGGGGGCGCTATAGTGGTGACCCAGGGGAGAGTGACAGAGCTGTCACAGCGGCCACACACACACACACACACACACACACACACACACACACACACACACACACACACACACACACACACACACACACACGTTCACTCTTCACATTTCTATAATTTTGTCTAATTAGAATAATTATCACTTATTTTAATGACAGTGAAGTTGTGACTGCGCCTCGTGAACCTTCCTGTAAAATCACTGTTATTTATCCGGTGACACGAGAACCGGATGTGACGCGTTCTTCCAGATATAGGCACGTGACGGAGCCATTAACAGGAGTCACCGAATCAACATTTTCCCTCTGACCTTAATAAATAAAATCTCATGTGTTGTCTGTTGCTGGTTGGATCATGTGACCTTCCCGCTGTGCCTTCACAGGCCCCACAGGTGTGAGGGCCCTCAGCCCCGTCAGGTGTGTGTGTGTGTGTGTGTGTGTGTGTGTGTGTGTGTGGGAGGGGGGGTTAATGGTAAATCACCAGTATCGATTTTAACATATTTAATTTTGTGCATCAAATTTTAAATAAAAGAAAAACAAATTCGATTCTTCTTCGTCATTTTCTTAAAAATCTCTTCAGTGCTTCTGCCTCTTCCACGTGGCCTTAATAATAAATATTTACTGATAAAGTGAAAATATTTCTTTTTTTGTAGCAGCTGAAAATAAAAGTCAGTGTAAAAACAGATTTACACTTTGACAGAAGAGTCTTCGAGTATTTTTAATTATTTTCCTTCTTCATCCATCTGGAGTTTTTTTCTTCTTTATTCATCCGTAAAAAATAAAAATAAAAAAATAAAAATCACCTCGGCCTCTTCTGAGAATAAATCCATTTAATTTAAAATCCATTTAATTCACTTTGTATTTTTTCTGTGTGCGTTTAAAATAAATGGATCAGCTGTTTAATAAGGGAGAGGTCTCACTCCTCTGAGTTCAGTCTGAACCAGGAAGTTGATCACGTTCATCTCTGTCTCATGTTCCTCCAGACAAACTGTAAAACTGTGTGTGTGTGTGTGTGTTTTACAGATGTGTTGACAGCAGCTGCTGCAGCGGCGGGAACATGGAGACTTTACCTGCAGGCCGCGGGAAGAAGCCTGACACAACAACAACAACGAACGTCTTCACAGTAAAAACCCAAACTAGAAAAAAGTTTCAAATGTTGAATTGTAGTTTTATTTTGATACTTGACAAATCAGAAGTTTAATCAATAATCAATACAAGAACCAGTTATTACTTCAAACGTCAAAATGCGATAAAACAGTGAAGATTCAACAGGTTGTTTGTGTAAACAAACATTAAATTATTTACAGCTGTAAAAATTCATAAAACATCTGCAGATGTGATAAATAATGTCACAGTGTCGCAGTCGGTTCTTAATCAATTAATTTAAATATAAAGATGAGCCTGACGTCACAGTAAAGACCCGCGGTCCCATCAGGTCATGTTGCTCGAGCTCATTCAGATGGTTGTTGAGTTTTGTCCTTCCTCCTCTTCCGTACAGGTGAGTCTTTTACTCGCGGCTCTGTGAAGTGAAATAAACCCGCGGAAAGCTGATCAATAAATATAAACATATATAAATATTTATATGTATGATATATTAGATAAATATGGCGGAGTGATCTAGAAAAAAAAAGCCCCATGGTGACTGAGCTGAGCTCAGACACGTGTTCCACTCACAGGTCCGGGTGCAGCTCACAGTGAGGTTCACGGACCTGCACGGGCCTTCAGGGGCCTTGAGGGGCGTTCAGGGACCTTCAGGTGGTTTAATTTCAGCATCATTTCTCCTGATGACACAGTAAATATTTCTCACACTTTAGATTTAACTTGTAAAATTCAACAATAATTCAGAAATGAAAGAGTTTGATCTGTAGTCTGATTCAGGATTAATGTTTCCATGACGAAGATTCAAAATGGCCTCCAGTCAGTGTGTGAGTTCTCTGCATCAGCTGATCACTGGACACCTCTCCGGTGACATCATCATCATTATAAATGTAGCTCTCATCAGAAACCCTGAAGTCATGTTATTGATTTCACTCCCTGTGACGTGTCGACAGTTTCCTGTTCAAGCGGAGACTGAATGTGACGTCCAGGTGTCTGAACCACATGACGACCTTCCTCCAGTCTCAGTGTCTCTGTCCGTCCACAGGTCGCACTGACGGAGGTGAAGGACCCAGTGTGAAGGTGAAACATCCAGAGTGAGTCCCACACGGTGAAACACAGGCTGTTTGACTCCAGGTACTGCTTCTTACTTTAGCTGCTGGTGTTTCTCTGTTTTAATAAATAAACATTAATCTCCCTTAAATATTGTATTTTCATCGTCCGTCTATAAAATCATTCTTTTACATCTCAGCTCCTAAATCAAAACCAGGTGATTTTTCTTTTCCCGCCCACGTCTCTGTGTTTGATTCTGTTTGTTTCAGCAAATCTCTCAAATACAACCAGCTGATGATAGATAAACTTTATTGATCTGGGTAAAAGATAAAAAATAATAACACAACAAATAACAAAATAAAAATATAGCTCAATATCCACAACAGAAAAATAAAAACAACAAATACCAAAATAAAGGTTTAATTGCACTTTATTCTGAAGGTAAAAACAGAATGTTAGCCGTGTGGTTTCAGGTAAACAGGTGATTTTTATGGTTACGGCTACATTAGTAAGTAATTTAGTGAATAAGGACGTATGATAGACAGAAGCAGTAATTTACTGCAGGAAGTTCCTGCTCATTAGAATGTGGATGCTCAGTGTTAATTCAGTGTTTACCTCAGTGTTGTTGGTCTCTGCACAGAAACACAATCACACAATTATATGAATCAGCATCAACTGTCAGCAGCTGCTTTAAGTGCACAACCCCCCCCCCCCCCCCCAATCTATAACCTATTAAATCCCAGTGTTTATTATATCCTGTGTAACATTCACCCTGCTGACCTTTAACAGTCAAAGCTAACATGCTAACATGGAGCTACCATCTTTTAATGCTGAAGTAAATGGAGCCTGTATGCTAAGCTGCTAGCATTTTAGTGTCGCACTTCAAATGTCCAACCTCTGACACTGTTGTTGTTGCTAACTGAGCTAATGCTAATGTTTGGTGATGAGGAGAATATGTGACAGCCTCAGTTTGTTACAGGACACACGGACTTACTGCTGCTTTAACTTTGAAATTCACCATTTGACACTTCGTTCCTGAGAAAGAAATCCACATTTAGTTCCTGCTTGTGACAAACTGACATGTTCTGCATCAGTTTTCAGTTTTTTCTCCTTGTTAAATACAAAACATTCTGTTAATTATGACACATCAGCGTCTCTGATGATCATTGATAATTTGAAAAACTGTAAAATGTTGACGATAACATGTTGGAATCAAATAAAAAGTTTCAAGCGCAAACTGTAGTTTTTCTTTTCTACTTGTTGCTGAATGAATTTTACTGTAAAACTTTAAATGAACACTTTTTCTAATGGTGCGTTTTTTTATGGTATCATTCTGTTCTACTGCAGAATTTATTTTGAAATACACAGGAGAAGAAATACACTGATTTTAATACAGACATGTTTCAGCCATTAATACATTATTCATTTAATTATTTGTGCAAACTTTCTCTTCATGTTTCCATTAATTTAAATTTTATGACTTTTAGCTGATGAACACACTGATGATAAACTAAAGCACACAGAGAATAATTCACTGCTAAATTAATTTAATTACAATTCCTTCAGTTTAATATTTGCTTCCATTTGAAGAGAGGAACGTTCAGGAGGTTTGAGCTGATGAGTTTCTTTTCTGCCTCAGAACAAAGAGCCAAAGTCGCCCATAAAACGTCCCTTTAACAGCGTTTAACTGCCTGTTAAAAATCTGGTGCTAATTACAGCGGCGCTAAGAGCTGATGGTCACTGAACACAGAGAAGACACACTTTCATTTCCTCCACTTTTATTATGTTTTTATTTGCATGAACGCAGGAAAAAAAAAAAGAAAAGTATTTTACAGATTAAATCTTACAGTTAACAACAAGCGTTTACTCCAGACTCAGGCCGTCAGTCAAACTACACTCAGACAGAAGGGATTGTGGGATACATCTTCTCTAAGGTGACTGTGTGAACAGTGCATTTCGTTTTTCACCCAGTCAAACCAAATCAAGACATTTCTGATTATCAGAGTCTCTTTGCTACGAGAACATTTAAAGAAAATACATTTTTATTCTTTTTTAGATCAACTACAACTAAAGGCAGGAAAAACATTTTGGTCAAAAGTAGCTAATGTAGAAAAGACAGCGTGATCTCTATTATTTATTACTGCGCTCAATCTGGATTTACTGTCTGGAAAATATCGAGATGATTTCAGAAACATATCTCAGCTGTAAACATCTAAATTACTTCAGCCACTTAGTAATAGTGTCGTCTCATTTACTGCGTCTGTTGTCAAATGTGATTACGTGGAAATCAAAGGCATGAAAGGACCAAATTTAATCAAAAACATTTAGTCAGAGGCCACGAGCAACACATACACACACACACACACACACACACACACACACACACACACACACACACACACACACACACACACACACACACACACAGGGAACAGGAGCCGCTACATGTTGCTGACTGGAATCAACATTTCTCCCGTGTCTGTGTCTGCGCTCCCTTTCTTATGGCTCATTCAGACGACAGGCAACAACAGTTAAACTTCAAACACACACACAGAAGGATGGGGGNGCGGGGGTGGCGTGGGGGGGGGGGGGTCAGGAAACATCAGCTGTAGAGAGGAGAGGACGTCTGAGTCCACCAGTTTATGACTGAACATAACGAGGTAACGAGGGTCAGACTGATACTGGTCTGTTATTAAAAATCTAATATTGAAAATGCAGGACGTTCCTCTCGGTCCGCAGCATCTCCTAAACACTTTGAGTTCGATTCACTTGCTGTTAATCTTGGATACAATAAATTTGTGTGCAGGCGTTTTGATCCTGACAGTTTCAATTTTATTATTTTTTTGGAATGATTTTGGTTTTAAAATGGTCAAATTTAAAATCAGGGGAATTCTTATATAAAATAACATCCAACCCAAGAAATATAAAGCTAATAATGTTCAATGAGTGACAAAGACACAGGTCTGAGACAGAGGTTCAGTGTGATGCTGGCTGGACAGGTGAGGTGGGGGCAGGCAGGTGGTCAGGTGGGGGCTGCTTGACGGCGGCGGTGGTTCTCCCCTGGAGCAGAGGTCAGGGGAAATTGGTGGGGAAGAGGCTGAGGGGCTGGCCCTCATTGGTGGGCAGCGGTGAGCGGTAACCCTCGAAGTTGCGCGGGATGCTGCCGCTGGTGGAGCCGGAGCTGTTGCTGAGGGTCTCGATGCTGCCCTCCCTCTGCAGATCTGCAGGGCGAGAGAGAGAGAGAGAGAGAGAGAAAGAGAGAGAGAGAGATGGAGTCGTCAGCTGATTGGACAACAGACCTGCATGACCTCTGACAGCTTCATGCTGAGGTCACAGTGCTGGTCATGACAGGAAGTAAATGCCCTCGCTGTCAGGTGACAGGTGACAGGTGACATGTCTGTAGCAGCATGTACCGGTGATGAATCCTCTGTCATGTTTTGTGTGTTCATCCTTTCATCCTGTATTTCTCCATGTTTCCAGTAACTTCTCTAATGTTTCATTTCAGCTCGGTTCTCGTGTGTTTGGAAATTTGACCAGATTAATGTACAACACCCAGAGCAGAGATGTTCACTGCAGCTTCTCTCTGGTTGCAGTTTAAAACTGTTTCCACTGCTGGAGTTTTTACTGTCCCAGAATGCCACGCTGTAAATTCTTTCTGCTGTCTGAGGGGAAGATTCACTCCCTCACAAACGAACTGCAGGACTCTTCAGTGACCTCGAGATGAATAGGAGGTTTAATTAGCTAAAGAATGTTTTTAGGTTCATACAGAAAAACGTCAGTGTGTTTAATATGAGCTGAAGATCAGAGGCTGATGGGAGATCGTCTCTGACGACCTGCTGGGAGTTGTGCCCAGGAAACCTCACACAAGCTCATACACTCTTCTTATCCAGGATAGAACGCAATGTGCCACTCTATGATGTTATGGTAATGTTATAGGCTACTTGGTCATAAAGATTTTATGCCGTACTATACTATGACGTTTTTATGCCTTCATATACTATGATGTTTTTATGCCTTACTATACTATGATGTTTTTATGACTTTTTATGCCTTACTATACTATGACTTTTTTTGCCTTACTATACTGTGACATTTTTATGACTTTTTATGCCTTACTATACTATGACTTTTTTAAGACTTTTTATGCCTTACTATATTATGACTTTTTTGCCTTACTATACTATGACGTTTTCATGACTTTTTATGCATTACTATACATTGACTTTTTTATGGCTTTTTATGCCTTACTATGCAATAACTTTTTATGCCTTACTATACTATGACGTTTTTATGACGTTTTATGCCTTAATATACTATGACGTTTTTATGACTTTTCATGCCTTACTATACTATGACTTTTTTAGGACTTTTTATGCCTTACTATACTATGACTTTTTATGCCTTACTATAATATGACTTTTTATGCCTTACTATACTATGACTTTTTTAGGACTTTTTATGCCTTACTATACTATGACGTTTTTATGACTTTTTATGCCTTACTATACTATGACTTTTTATGCCTTACTATATTATGACTTTTTTGCCTTACTATACTATGACTTTTTATGCTTTACTATACTATGACGTTTTCATGACTTTTTATGCATTACTATGCAATAACTTTTTATGCCTTACTATACTATGATGTTTTTATGACGTTTTATGCCATACTATACTATGACGTTTTTAGGACTTTTTATGCCTTACTATATTATGACTTTTTATGCCTTTCTATAATATGACTTTTCATGCCTTACTGTACTGTTGTTTTTATGACTTTTTTTGCCTCACTATACTATGACTTTTTTATGAGATGTTATGCCTTACTATACTATGATGTTTTTATGACGTTTTATGCCATACTATACTATGACGTTTTTAGGACTTTTTATGCCTTACTATATTATGACTTTTTATGCCTTTCTATAATATGACTTTTCATGCCTTACTGTACTGTTGTTTTTATGACTTTTTTTGCCTCACTATACTATGACTTTTTTATGAGATGTTATGCCTTACTATACTATGATGTTTTTATGACGTTTTATGCCATACTATACTATGACGTTTTTAGGACTTTTTATGCCTTACTATATTATGACTTTTTATGCCTTTCTATAATATGACTTTTCATGCCTTACTGTACTGTTGTTTTTATGACTTTTTTTGCCTCACTATACTATGACTTTTTTATGAGATGTTATGCCTTACTATACTATGATGTTTTTATGACGTTTTATGCCATACTATACTATGACGTTTTTAGGACTTTTTATGCCTTACTATATTATGACTTTTTATGCCTTTCTATAATATGACTTTTCATGCCTTACTGTACTGTTGTTTTTATGACTTTTTTTGCCTCACTATACTATGACTTTTTTATGAGATGTTATGCCTTACTATACTATGATGTTTTTATGACGTTTTATGCCATACTATACTATGACGTTTTTAGGACTTTTTATGCCTTACTATATTATGACTTTTTATGCCTTTCTATAATATGACTTTTCATGCCTTACTGTACTGTTGTTTTTATGACTTTTTTTGCCTCACTATACTATGACTTTTTTATGAGATGTTATGCCTTACTATACTATGATGTTTTTATGACGTTTTATGCCATACTATACTATGACGTTTTTAGGACTTTTTATGCCTTACTATATTATGACTTTTTATGCCTTTCTATAATATGACTTTTCATGCCTTACTGTACTGTTGTTTTTATGACTTTTTTTGCCTCACTATACTATGACTTTTTTATGAGATGTTATGCCTTACTATACTATGATGTTTTTATGACGTTTTATGCCATACTATACTATGACGTTTTTAGGACTTTTTATGCCTTACTATATTATGACTTTTTATGCCTTTCTATAATATGACTTTTCATGCCTTACTGTACTGTTGTTTTTATGACTTTTTTTGCCTCACTATACTATGACTTTTTTATGAGATGTTATGCCTTACTATACTATGATGTTTTTATGACGTTTTATGCCATACTATACTATGACGTTTTTAGGACTTTTTATGCCTTACTATATTATGACTTTTTATGCCTTTCTATAATATGACTTTTCATGCCTTACTGTACTGTTGTTTTTATGACTTTTTTTGCCTCACTATACTATGACTTTTTTATGAGATGTTATGCCTTACTATACTATGATGTTTTTATGACGTTTTATGCCATACTATACTATGACGTTTTTAGGACTTTTTATGCCTTACTATATTATGACTTTTTATGCCTTTCTATAATATGACTTTTCATGCCTTACTGTACTGTTGTTTTTATGACTTTTTTTGCCTCACTATACTATGACTTTTTTATGAGATGTTATGCCTTACTATACTATGATGTTTTTATGACGTTTTATGCCATACTATACTATGACGTTTTTAGGACTTTTTATGCCTTACTATATTATGACTTTTTATGCCTTTCTATAATATGACTTTTCATGCCTTACTGTACTGTTGTTTTTATGACTTTTTTTGCCTCACTATACTATGACTTTTTTATGAGATGTTATGCCTTACTATACTATGATGTTTTTATGACGTTTTATGCCATACTATACTATGACGTTTTTAGGACTTTTTATGCCTTACTATATTATGACTTTTTATGCCTTTCTATAATATGACTTTTCATGCCTTACTGTACTGTTGTTTTTATGACTTTTTTTGCCTCACTATACTATGACTTTTTTATGAGATGTTATGCCTTACTATACTATGATGTTTTTATGACGTTTTATGCCATACTATACTATGACGTTTTTAGGACTTTTTATGCCTTACTATATTATGACTTTTTATGCCTTTCTATAATATGACTTTTCATGCCTTACTGTACTGTTGTTTTTATGACTTTTTTTGCCTCACTATACTATGACTTTTTTATGAGATGTTATGCCTTACTATACTATGATGTTTTTATGACGTTTTATGCCATACTATACTATGACGTTTTTAGGACTTTTTATGCCTTACTATATTATGACTTTTTATGCCTTTCTATAATATGACTTTTCATGCCTTACTGTACTGTTGTTTTTATGACTTTTTTTGCCTCACTATACTATGACTTTTTTATGAGATGTTATGCCTTACTATACTATGATGTTTTTATGACGTTTTATGCCATACTATACTATGACGTTTTTAGGACTTTTTATGCCTTACTATATTATGACTTTTTATGCCTTTCTATAATATGACTTTTCATGCCTTACTGTACTGTTGTTTTTATGACTTTTTTTGCCTCACTATACTATGACTTTTTTATGACTTTTTATGCCTTACTATACTATGACGTTTTTAGGACTTTTTATGCCTTGCTATACTATGACTTTTCATGCCTGACTATACTATGATGTTTTCATTACTTTTTATGCCTAACGATACAATGACTTTTTTATGACTTTTTATGCCTTACTATACTATGAGGTTTTTAGAATTTTTATGCCTAACTATACTATGACTTTTTTTGACTTTTTATGCATTACTATACTGTGACTTTTTAAGCCTTATACTATGACTTTTTATGCCTTACTATACTATGACTTTTTATGCCTTATTATACTATGACTTTTTCATGACTTTTTATGCCTTATTATACTATGACTTTTTCATGACTTTTTATGCCTTATTATACTATGACTTTTTCATGACTTTTTATGCCTTATTATACTATGACTTTTTCATGACTTTTTATGCCTTATTATACTATGACTTTTTCATGACTTTTTATGCCTTATTATACTATGACTTTTTCATGACTTTTTATGCCTTATTATACTATGACTTTTTCATGACTTTTTATGCCTTATTATACTATGACTTTTTCATGACTTTTTATGCCTTATTATACTATGACTTTTTCATGACTTTTTATGCCTTATTATACTATGACTTTTTCATGACTTTTTATGCCTTATTATACTATGACTTTTTCATGACTTTTTATGCCTTATTATACTATGACTTTTTCATGACTTTTTATGCCTTATTATACTATGACTTTTTCATGACTTTTTATGCCTTATTATACTATGACTTTTTCATGACTTTTTATGCCTTATTATACTATGACTTTTTCATGACTTTTTATGCCTTATTATACTATGACTTTTTCATGACTTTTTATGCCTTATTATACTATGACTTTTTCATGACTTTTTATGCCTTATTATACTAT